TCTTCCTTGCTGAGACTTGACTTGTAGTCTTGTAAGATTGTGCACTTGAAAAGACCTTTAGAGAAAGAGATGAACCCGCCGCAGCCAATTAATTACTCCGAGGAAGAACAAGTGCATAAAGCTAACCCATCTAACGAGTAAAGAGCTAACCATATTCTAGTATATGTTATATATAAAGAGAAAGGAGACCAAAATCTCGATCGAGAAAAGCTGATTCAAGGCCTTTTTATGATCTTCTACGGGGCCTTTACTCTAGAAAGGTAGAACTACAAGAAGCAAGAGTGAACTATCGAGACGAGTAGTATCTCAAGGAATAGCTTTCCCTAAAGAAGAAAGACCACCTATTTACTTTTACTAGGTAGTGGAGGCCAACTAGCAATTCAAGAAAATGAGTTTGCTTATTGATCCAAGTAAGCATTAAAATCTTCTATCGACTGGGTTACTTGCTGAAAATCTGACTAAAATGAAAAGGTAAACCACCTTTTTGGAACTCCATGTTTCTGTTTTTCCTCTTCTATCAGTTTAGAGTTTTTTTTTCTTTTAGGTTGTGTATGGACTGCATAAATTTCCCTCCTGTTGGAGAGGATTCGGCTTCAACAACAAGATCGACAAAACAAAAACAGAAGAATAGGAAAAAAGGTGACATAAAAGTTTCTAACTTTCTGAACTACGATGAAAAGTCTTCGATATACCATTCATAGGCTCTTAGGTCAAAACCCCATGTAAGTCACCCGCATACCAATGTCTTTAAGCCGAACCTTCTACTTGATGAGAAACTTCAGGCATGAACACCTCCTCTGTTTTTGCATAGCTTGCACTCTCTTTATTCGCCACTGAACATCCACCTTTCTTTCGTCTGTAACGTGTATTTTTTGCTTGTTTGGATCCTGTCGAGTGAAAGCCAATGCGTTTTCCGAAGGGGGTTTTGAAAAAAAGGCCTACCCGAGGAGATGTTGAAGTTGCGCATGAAGTAGTCTCTATCTTCCGGTCGGAGACAAGGGATGGATGTCGCTAGGCTAGGTCAACTCTATCATTGGTTTCATTATCCCTATAACGATCACTAAATAAAGATATGTGCTACTACGAGACCGATGCTGCGAAGCTAGGTGGTGCTATTATGGCGGGGGAAGGGTCGACTTCTGCTCCGAATGCTTTTTGTGGCAGGTCTTTCTATTACCGATATGGACCTCACTAACGGGTCTCGTTCTGTATCTAGGTCTCGATCTATATCACTAAGGTCAGTATATGAATCTGCTGCCTCTTTTATCTCAGGTCTTGGATCACCTACTAACTACTGCGCTGCGACAAGGACTGGACCTGTAACCATACGAAGGGGTGGGGTGTATAGGTCTCGATCACGTGGTTGGGGTATCGATCTGGAGCTACTGCATATGCGACTGGGTCACCCAGGTATATCCGCTATGTATGGATCGACTGTGTATGGATCACTGGCTAAGGCTGGCTTAGATGGGCTTGATGGACTTTTGGCAATTGTGGGACTATGAATCTGTGATGGATGGAATTATTGGCGGTAGTGGGACTAAGAATCTAAGAGATGGACTATGGCAGTAGTGGGGATTTTTGGCCTGGGAATGGATGGATAAAGTTATACGGTGATGGGCTTGTTGGGCTTGCTGCGGTAATAAAGTAGTGGTAATGATGGATGGGCTTGTTACAGTGATGTGTATGGACTAGTATTGGTGGGTTCGCGGACTTGCAGACTTGCGGGGCGAGCTACTATCAAAATATCAAAATTGATTGAAAGCGGTGGACTTGCGGATTTGCGGCGGAATTGCAGCGGACTTGCAACTTGCGGCGGAATTGCGGCGGACTTGTAACTTGCGGCTTTATTCCTGGGACTTGCGATAAACTTTAGCAAAATTGTGGTAAGCTTTAGGGGAAAAAAACAGTGGTTTGGAAGTGGTGGTTGCTGTGATACTCGATTGGACTTACGGTAATGCACAGAGAGGTCGGCAGCTATTCAGGCTCCAAATGAAATTTGATCACGATGGATGATCGGCAGCTATTCAGACTTCACCGATTGAGTTAGGGTTTGGTTTTAGGCTCTGATACCATGTATCAAGTATAAACAATCTTGCTCTCAATTCTGCGTTTATTTGAATAGAGATAGATGTTCCTTTTATAATACAGAAAGGCTAAAAAAATCTTCCTAGATACTAGGTCAAATTAAATCTAGCTAAATCCCTAGATACTAGGTAATAATATATATATAAATCTCTTGAATCAATCTCTAGATATTAGGGAATCTTTTCCTTATTTAAAGGGATTACATAAATATCTCTTAATTACACAAATATTCTTTAAATCAAGACCATTCCTTCAACTGTTGCTACTAAAATGGGTGTACCCGGAACGGCGTTCCGATCTCTAAATGGATCTGCTATAGCTACTCGATCTCGATCAAATGGCTTTGGATCTGTCTCTACATCTGGAATATCTGTCAGAGGATATGGAACTCAATATCGATCTGAAACAAGGGGTGCTCCATAGCGAAAACGGAGACTGCTTCTAGCCAACATCGGCTATGGCTCACGCCCATAATAATAAGGGCATCTCGGTATGGGGTTGGATCATCGGCCCTGGTGATGGCTCCCCTTACTAGTAAAGGGAACTGGAAGGGATGCTATTGGTGGTATCGGTACTGCTCTCGTTATCATCCGCGGATATGCTTTCTTTTTTTTCTATTAGCGTGGGTCTTTCTCTACTGCTGTTGGTATCGGCTTCTGTATATGCTTCTGCTTTTACTGATGCTTATGGATTACTTGCTGGATCGAACCCAAAAACGTCTCGATTTGATCGGCCTGGCCTCGGGTGGTGGATCGAATTCACACTCAACTGCGTCATCACAGCTGCGATGGATGCCCCACCTTTCTATCTCTTCCTTCTAACTTCTCAATGCGGGGATGGACTCTTCAATCCTCCTCCGATCGGTTCCGACAGTCTTTTCTTCACCTTCTCTTCTCGGCATGATCCAGGCATTCAAGCTAGCAGATCAAATCATGGGTTCTCATCCCCAACGTTGGGAGAGGCAAGTGAGTCGGTTGGTGGAAATGCGGTTATGCCGGGTGGACTCAAGTCAAGTGGGAGGTGGCATCGTCTAACGTATAATAAAAGCACGCTTGCTTTTCTTGTTTCACTCTGCTTATTAGTTGAGGCACCCGTGTGTTCTCATCTAAGAAAGATGTAGAGTGCTCGCGGAGCGCACTTGCGAAGGACCAACGACGAGCTATATAGAGGATAAGAGAAAGAATCCCTTATATATATATTACAAAAAAGAAAGTGTCCGGGGTTGAAGTTCAGTTTCTTTGTTTTTCGTCTGAATATTCTGGAGCTAAGACCCTTCCAATGCTCCCTTTCGCCATGCATAAACTGCACCGGATAAGCTAGTACGAAAAGAATCTATATAAATGGAGAACGGATACGCCCAATACATTAGAAACTCATTGCCCAAAAGACCTTTTCGACATCAAAAAAAATGACTGTAATGTAATGAGAGTGTGGATTCCAAATAGTAACCTCCCATTGCTCGAGATCCGATAGCATGCAGCAACTAGTTGTAAGAAAGAGGGGGGGAGGAGAAAGATATATAGAAAGTGTGCTGTGAGGGTGGTTGTAAATCACTAGGTAGCCAGTCTTTACTTAACTCGGCCCAAGCACCACTCCCATGCCTTTCTTGGTTGGACCAACCCAACCGGCGATTTCTGTCTTCCTGAATTGGGAGAGCAAGAACAAGTCTCTCTTTTTTTGGGGGGGGAGCAGAGCAGTCAAAGAATAAACCAAACAAAATGATTGTTCTAAAATGGCTATTCCTCACAATTGCTCCTTGTGATGCAGCGGAACCATGGCAATTAGGATCTCAAGACGCAGCAACACCTATGATGCAAGGAATAATAGACTTACATCACGATATCTTTTTCTTCCTCATTCTTCTTTTTGTTTTCGTATCACGGATCTTGGTTCGCGCTTTATGGCATTTCCACTATCAAAAAAATCAAATACCGCAAAGGATTGTTCATGGAACTACTATCGAGATTCTTTGGACCATTTTTCCTAGTATCATTCCGATGTTCATTGCTATACCATCCTTTGCTCTCTTATACTCAATGGACGAGGTAGTAGTAGATCCAGCCATGACTATCAAAGCTATTGGACATCAATGGTATCGGACTTATGAGTATTCTGACTATAACAGTTCCGATGAACAGTCACTCACTTTTGACAGTTATACGATTCCAGAAGATGATCTAGAATTGGGTCAATCACGTTTATTAGAAGTGGACAATAGAGTGGTTCTACCAGCCAAAACTCATCTACGTATTATTGTAACACCTGCTGATGTACCTCATAGTTGGGCTGTACCTTCCTCAGGTGTCAAATGTGATGCTGTACCTGGTCGTTTAAATCAGATCTCCATTTTGGTACAACGAGAAGGAGTTTACTATGGTCAGTGCAGTGAGATTTGTGGAACTAATCATGCCTTTACGCGTGCGCCCGGAAACATAGGCCGACTGCTGAGCCCACTCTGGCTCAGCCGCACCACCCGGGGTGCGAGCCACCCGAGAAGCAAGCTATTACAGCGAGCGGCTGGAGCTGTAGGGAGCCGAGGAGCAAAGCTGTAGATAAGATCGAAGAAGGGGCCAGGCTCCCGGTGGAGCAGAGGAGACGGTTAGGATAACGAACTTGAAACGCGGAGCCCGAGCGGCCGGCGAGCGAGTGGTTAGTGGCCAATAGCGCCCTAGTTGATGGCATTCCTCTCCTAGGCTGGCACTCGAGGAACCACGGGGCACTCCATACGGAGCAAGCAAGTCTTGGGGATGAGACGCCCGCGCAAGGACCTCAATTCTCATTAGGAGGTCGAACCAAGGACCTATGGAAGTCGGGGCTACCCCCTCCCCATGGCCAACGCAACAGTGTCCTGAGGAAGGAGTTTAGAGGCCTTATAGTAGCACGGACTGATTTTTCTTTCTAGGTCATGCGAA